CTCAAAAACGAATGGGTGGGAGGACATGTTTTCCCACGTTCAATCTTCCGGACAGGCCGGACGTCTTCACCGCTTTTCCATTGATCAAACCTTCTACGGTCGGCTCTATAGGTGGCTAAGAAAGTGAAAATCGAGATTTATTTTTAGCTATTTACTTTCATTATTACAGACCGACTTTGAGGAACCACTGAGATTTCCTGATAACTTCCGACAGTTTCGACACTCAACTCCAATGGGAATAGAGATGTTGCATGTGTGAGTAATTTGCGATTCGACTGTTGATTCTAATGTAAAAGTTTGCGAGAAACATGATGGTGCCACTGGTTTTCTCTGAAATCAACTCCTAAGCTCAAAAACAGCTCTCAAGTTGAAGCCGCTATCCTGACACGATGCGACACGACAATCCCGATGTCGAAATCTGGCAGTTTTAAAAACGCCTTCAAATGCGGCGTGATACCTCACGCGTTCCGGAGAGTACGAATAGTTGTATCATTGCGCCTTACCAATGTGACAGAAGATTAATCTTGATGTTGCCGGTAGCTTCCGCACGCTGGCCTTGTTGGTTTTCCTTTGAAACTTTTGCAGTTGTGACCGTATAGTAATAATGTGCTAAAGCTAGGATAGTTTTTAGCAAATGAAGATGTTGCATGCGTGAGGGATTTGCGATTTGACTGTTGATTCTTGTGTAAAAGTTCGCAAGAAACACGATGGTGCCACTGGTTTTCTCTGAAATCAACTCCCAAGCTCAAAAAAAGCTCTCAAATTGAGGCCAAAAAGAAGGGGACATCCAACGATATCCTGAGAGTCCACCTCTATACATCAAGACAAACTCTCCATGAAAAGATAGGGAGCAAATACATTGACAGGGCTGCCACTTTATTTGGGGACTCTAAAACTGAAAACATGGCATCACTGCTAATGTATTTGCTCCCTATCTTTGCATGGAGAGCTTGTCTTGATGTAGAGGTGTACTCTCAGGGTAGCGTGGGATATTCCCTCCATTTTGGCCTCAACTTGCGAGCTTTTTTTGAGCCTGGGAGTTAGTTTTAGAGAAAACCAGTGGCACCATCGTGTTTCTCGCGAATTTTTACATAAGAATCAGCAGTCAAATCGCAAATTCCTCACGCATGCAACATCTTCATTTGCTAAAAACTATCCTAGCTTTAGCATATAGCTTTAGCGAATATACGGTCACAACTGCAAAAGTTTCAAAGGAAAACCGACAAGGCCAGCGTGGAAGCTACCAGCAATATCAAGATTAATCTTCTGTCTCATCGGTAAGGCGCAATGATACAACTATTCGTACTCTCCAGAACGCGTGAGGTATCACGCCGCATTTGAAGGCGTTTTTAAAACTGCCAGGTTTCGACATCGGGATTGTCGTGTCGCATCGTGTCAGGATAGCGTGGAATATCTCCTCCATTTTGGCTTCAACTTGAGAGCTTTTTTTGAGCTTGGGAGTTGATTTCAGAGAAAACCAGTGACACCATCGTGTTTCTCGCGAACTTTCACCTAAAAATCAATAGTCGAATCGCAAATTCCTCACACATGCAACATCTCCATTGGTTCCGGAATTTGATCACCTATATTAGGGTCTCTACTAAACCAGCTGGTATAGAAGTCCGTGCTTTTACAGCAATTTTGCAGTTCTTAAAAATATAGGCTCTCCTCTATTGTTCTTATACTCTTCTCGTGTTCAAGCACTCAAAATTGACAAATCGTCACCTTACGGCCAAAGTATAACAAGTGCCACGCAAAGTTTAAAAATTTCCGCCGCCCATTTATTTTTTTACGGAGATAATGTTGGTTGCATCTGTTTGAAAATTTCACTGAATTTTATCGGCAGCACGAAGAAAAGTCAGTGAAATTTTTGAACAGCTTCGTTGAACAATTTCTCTGTAAAAAAATAAAATAGCGGCGGCAATTTTCAAAATTAGCATGGCCATTGTGATACTTTGGCCGTAAGATGACGAAATTGCTCGGTCGCATTGTTTTCGTTTCAATCTTGGCAAGAAGTTTGAAATAGGGTTCCAATTTTGAAATATTTGATTCTTATTGGTCCGCGATCTCGCTTGGGTTATAAGCGCTATAATATTTCTCATCATGAATTATTCAGCTGTTTTTATTTCGCCTCAGATTGCGTCTGTTGCAATTGTTGTTGCGAATACGTTGTGCGTGCTGATTTCAGTACATTACATACTCCATTCTCTGAAGGCGTTTTATGTGCGCAGGTGGAGCACTCTCTTGGAGAACGGACAAAGGAGGAATTGAACTATTCATTTAATCTCTACTTCTTTTGCTCTCCAACAGAATGCGCTACTTGCGCACGTGAAACGCCTTCGAAGAGTCGAGTATGTAATGAGCTGAGATCAGTACGCACAACATATTCTTAACGACAATTGCAGCAGACGCAGTTGAAGGCGAATTGAAAATATAAATCATGTTGAAAAACACTTTAGCTCTTAAATTGATATTGTCACCACTAGGAAATTTTTGATGGAAGACTTTCGAAAACAAATTTCATTATACACATATTTTTTATGCAAATTAAAATAAACCGCGCTACAAATTTTCAGTTTTGGCGGGAAGTTGAACCTAAACTTCCCGCCAAGACTGAAACTGCGTTAACACAACTGCGCTTTTTGTCCATTTTGAGTGGTTGTGTTAGTGGTTTTTCCTACATTGTGATGGTTAAGGGAGGTTAAAGGAGGTCCTCGAAATAGCATCATCATAAGGACATATTTTGCAAACCTCTAGTCAAATTTAGCATTATAACTATGGAAATGAGCCCTTGAAAGGGATCACATTGATTTATTACCACAAAAAAGACAAAAGGATGAATGAAGTCCCCCCCCCCAAAAAAAGAAGAAAACTTCACCCCCCTCCAATTACAAAGTTGAGGAATAGCACCTTGGAAAACCCCTCACTCGGCACCCCACTTTTCCTGCTTTTCCAGTGCTTCCGGACAGCCTCTAAAAAAAAGCGACACTATTTCCGGAGTATTCTGCCCAGTAACACCCTAATCTATCAAGGCTTTGACAACCAACCGACGATTTCTGAAAAACCCTGGATAGACGATCAAATTCCGAACCAATTACGATTAAAGTAGACATGCTGATGACTGATGATCACCATCTACCATCAAATTTTGACGGGCCGCACTATTTTGTTCAAAGTAAGATCAGAATGGAGTGCCACTATTCATCATTTCCTGCCACAGGAAATATTTCTGCCAAGTTTTCATTTTAAAATCAAACTAGGGGCTTATGGGGCTGCTTCGCAGCCCCTTATTTTTCCTGTACACTTTTCACTTTCACATGTTTTTTTTTTTTTTATTTATTTTCATTTAATTTTCTGTTTTGTCTTTGAATCGGGTCTAATTATTTCTTTGAGAGAATAAATATAACAAATGTTTTCAAAAATTGTAATTTTATTTAGTAAACTTTAAACTAAAATTTTGTTTTAATCTTCATAAAAAATTATTTTTTAGGTTTTACATTTGTTTCAAACTAATTTCAAGAAGATCTTTTTTAAACAGAATTTTAAGTCTTATTATTTTCTCTGAACTGTTTATTTTTAAAATGTTTAAAAACAAAACGGAATAGACAAAGTCCAAATAGTAACTAACAGAGGAGGAAAGATTTAAATGCAGTATCCGGAATGCAGCTGCATTCCGGATGCGTTAAGGGGTGGGAAGGAGGGAGGGACGGACTGAGAAACTGAAAAAAGTACGTTACGTAACGGTAAATATTAAATAAACTTACCTATATATGAATCCTTGAACTTTAAAGCAATAAGGTCCATCACCCGGAATATCAATTCGATTTGCAGAGAAAGAGGCAAAAGCAACAGCACTATTATAATTTCTGATATGCTTTATGAAATTTGGAGAATATAAAAATAATGATTTCAGATCGGTATTTGTCCGAATACTCGGTAAAGAAATTAAGCCATTTTGGCAGCAGTTATTAAAATGACCATTGGACATTTCACCCTGAAAATGGCGAGCATCACAATGATGACAAATTATATTCATTGAACCGACTGAAAATTTGGTAACGAAATTTTCATCAAAGTTCTGATCATCAATTTTATACTTCCGAAATGAAGAAATGAAACTTTGATTTTCTATACTAATAACAGAGTTAAGTTCTTGCTTCACTAAACGAACATGCGAAGAATTCTGGAAAACGCGACCACGTTTTGGAGGACAACCGCCTCGGTCATTGAAAATTTCACTCATAACAACTGTTAAATTTAAAATTAAAATTAGTAAAAATTATTATTATTTTAACAAAATCATAACTGAAAAGTTCAATTTTTAAATTAAAAAAAATAAATCAGAAGAAAACGGATGAAATGAAAATGGAAATTAATAATAAACATATTTATACACATTGAAAAGAAACAGCGTGAAAAGTTCTGATCGGAAATGAGAAAAAAAAACTTGGAGGTTATTGCCTTAATGAGGAAAAATTGGCAATAGGAAAAAGATGGAACCAATCATGAAAAACCGTAAAAAAAAAAAAACGCGGGAAAAGAAAAATGTAAGTTGATGGCAGTTGAGTGTTGGAAGTAACCTCACTTAATGATGATTGTTGAATGAAAACAGCTGATAAAAAGACAGCAAACAGTAAAGTAGGTAAGATGCGTAGCAACAAAACTTTTCCGAAAAACAAAAAACAAAAAACCCCCACTTCCCCTCATCCAATTTATGAGTTTTTAGGGATTTAAAAATCGGGGACGAACCCCAGAAAATAATTTATAGTTTTCCCGAAGCATTGAGAACAACACCTTTCAAATGAACCAACGCCCCTCGCAATTAGTACAGTGGTTGATTCACAATTTCATTCTATTTTTCAAATTAAATATTAAGATTAATGAGTTTAAGACTGATGACTCCCGACACTTTGATGCTACTTTGATCGGAATTGATTCGGGAATTTGATCGTCTATCCAGGGCTAAGGAACATGCAAAACGGTTGAGTGTTGCGACTTACTTGAGTTCTTTTTCGTGGAAGCTGGCCTGGTTGTATGCGTTGGCGACGTCTAGGAGTTTCATGTTCTCCTCGCGTTTCTTGGGCGAATCAACGGTCTCCCGGGTGTCCATCGGCTGGGGGTGATCTGGGGAGTTGCCCGTCACGGAGGGCTGCTGGATGAAGATGGACGCCGTCTTCGTGTCCGAGTAGTTCTTGTTGTTGTTGTCCGGCTGCTCCAGGATCACCTCCGCCGCCGTCATCGACCACTTCCGCTCGAATTTCTTCCGCCCCGGGGCAGAATTGAACACCTGAAACCATGAAGAACGTCCGTTAGGGTGACCATTCAAAACCGACCCTGCTAAAAACATGCATTTTGGTCTCATTTTGAGATCATTTTGCTAACAGCACTGTCATGATAGTGAAGAGAGCAGTGAGTGTTTAATTTTTGAGATCGAATTTCCTTCCAAATCTATCTAATCTCTTTTAGATGAAATCCCTGAAATAGCTGATCAGCAATTTCTGCCGTGCTAAGGAAGAACGCCGTATGAACATTCGAGAGTTGCCAAATTTCCTTCGAGAAAATGTTTAGTTTGGCAGTAGGTTATGGATATTTTTCCATGAAATTTTCAGTAAATTCAGGTAAAATTGCAAACAAAATAATCTGAAAAATCGGAAGGAAAATATTCATGAATTTACCAGGAAATTCGTGTTTCATCAATGGAAATTTGGCAGCGCCTGAAGGTTCATACGGCGTTTTTCCTTAGCACGGCAGAATTCATCTTGATCGTATAAAAACGAGACAAGTGAAAAAGTCGCAAGGGCGCACAAAATGACGCGGTTTTAGGCAAGACAGTAGTATGTGACATTATTCCTCTAGATAGCTAATGATATATCAGTGCTTTCAAATAAAGTGTCACCCTCTTCTGTCAATCTCTAACCTGAAAATGTGTTCGTTGTGTGTCCAAAACGCAGCCACGAGCGCATGTAGAGGATAGCGCTTACGGCTGCCTCACCTAACACGAGCCTAACATGAAAATGAAGAATACTCTCTTCATGTAATTGTTATAAAATTGGTCGATTTTTAATCATCCAAGCAGTTTCTGGGAGTCTTTCGGATGATCAGAGCAAATTTGAGAGGGAACGGAGGCTTCTTTTAATGAAATTTTTCGACCCGACGTTTTTGAGCCCGTTTTCTCGAAACTTCACTTTTGCACTTACTGCTCTCTTCGCTATCACGACAGTGTATATGTATTGTAATTCCGGGTAAAAGAACAAGAATGAACCATACGGACTAAGAACATGTATGTTTTTTTGTTTTTTTTTTACCACTTCCAGTAGCCCACAAGGTCTCATCCTAGCTGCGCTTCAGTGACCTCCTCCCTCCGTCTCTAACAACCAGTCCCAGGCAACCATTGTTTGAGACCATCGAACTCGGGTCGCCTGGCCGGGAGTCGAACCCGGGACTTCCCGATCCTAGAGCTAGCGCTACAACCACTACACCATAGGAGGCCGACCCACAGGAGAAGTAAATCTAGTCAATTTTTTCCAGAGAAAAAATGGCACCTACCTCGACTCCAGTGCAAGCCGGCGCTGAGGCCAGCCCGTCCTGTATCCTGACATTCCCGTTGAGCTTATCCGGAAACGCCTTGTTCTCCACCGTCGGCGAGAAGGTGAAATGCTTCTTGACCTTGGTCGGGCTGGGCTCGGGCTTGAGCTTGGGGCTCTCCACTTGGACGAGGGTCGTGGTGGGTGTCTCCTCGAGGCCCTGCGGCGGCTCCGAGCTGGGGGAGCCGGTGGGCGAGGTGGGGACCGGCGGGGAGGCGCGGAGCTCGAAGGCGTCCTCGCTGTCGACGGTCATCTGCTCGGCGGCGAAGCCGGAGGAGCCCCGGCTGGACTTGAGCCGGTCCTCGCCGAAGTTGTTCTTGGCGTAGCGCTTCGAGATGGAGTGGAGCCGCCGCGAGACCGAGTGCGAGTGGTTGTGCCGCGCGTTCTCCACGTTCAGCTGCCGCATCTTGATCCGGTACCACTCGAACGAGTTGTCCGGGTCGATCACCTGCGAAAAGAGATGGACGAGTTCATGGAATTTATTCGCGTGAAATTTCATGAAATTTTATGAAATTCGTTCCCACAAAATTTCATGAAATTCATTTGCGTGAAATTTCACGAAATGTCATGAAATTTATTCGCGTGAAATCTCACGAGATTTCATGAAAGAACTCCGCACCGACCTTGGGGACAATGGCTCCCTCTAGAATCTGATGAAACTTGGATAAATGTTGTGCCGGAGTGGACTGGAAGGGAAGGGCACGAGAGGCGCCGAACGATCGTTCGGCCAGTGAAACTTCAATTTCCGTACATAAAACGGCGAATATCTCGAAAACCGCTCGTGGGATCTCTTTCGGCCCAAAAGAACTTTTGATCAGAATGACTAGCTGAGCAACATATCCAAGTTTCATCAGATTCTAGGGAGAGCCATTGCCCATGAGGTTTGTGCGGGGTGGTTCGTTGAAACTATCGGGGATGCATTCAGGAGGCAAAGAAACGCCTAGCAAGAGTGATTCTTGATTTTGATAACCTGAGACTAGGGATGTAAAATTTCATGAAATTTCAAAGGAGGGGTATTGATAGGGGCCTTTTTTGGCCTCCCCCTAGAATTTGGAAATTTATGCGGGTTTTCCTAGTTGACTTAATATACAGGGTGATCCAAAAGTCCCTTCCACCCCCTCTAACTTTTTACCTAATTGAGATAAAGATTTGAAATTTGGGGGATATTCCTAAGTCAAAGGGAGCTACTTTTTGGCCCCCCTAAAATTTTCAGGGAGGCCCCCCTTGGGGGGCAACGGCCCCCAACTTTCAATTTTCAAATGGGAAGACCCCCTTTGTGATAGCTCGTTCGAAAGAGCATAAAAAAAGAAAACTTTTCGCGCAAACCCGAAGTCAATATCTCAAACCGTTTCAAAATGGCGGCCGGTTAAATTTCAAAATGGCCGAAAATTCACACCGGTTATTTGTCGATGGATTTGCGCGAAAATCGGTGTGTTGGGGTATTTTGACACGAGAAAATCGAATTTGACGTTAGATTTTCAAAAAAATCAAAATTTCCAAAATGGCCGCCGGTTAAAGTTCAAAATTACCAAAAATTGATTTTTTTAGAAATCTAAGTTCAAATTTGTTTATCTTATGCCAAAATACTCTCAAATTCCAAGTTTTAGGCAAATCCATCAGGAAAAAACCGAGGTGACAATTTTCGGCCATTTTAAACTTTAACCGGCGGCCATTTTGGAAATTTTGATTTTTTTTGAAAATCTAACGTCAAATTCGTTTTTCTCGTGTCATAATACCCCTACATACCGATTTTCGCGAAAATCCATCGACAAATAACCGGTGTGAATTTTCGGCCATTTTGAACTTTAACCGGCCGCCATTTTGAAATGGTTTGAGATATTGACTCCGGGTTTGCGCGAAAAGTTTTCTTTTTCTATGCTCTTTCGAACGAGCTATCACAAAGGGGGTCTTCCCATTTGAAAATTAAAAGTTGGGGGCCGTTACCGCCCCAAGGGGGGCCCCCCTGAAAATTTTAGAAGGGCCAAAAAGTAGCTCCCTTTGACCTAGGAATATCCCCCAAATTTCAAATCTTTATCTCAATTAGGTAAAAAGTTAGAGGGGGTGGAAGGGACTTTTGGATCACCCTGTAGTTGACGGATATAATCATGATTTGGCCCATAGGACACTAGATACGTGTTAGACGGTTGCCTGAACATCTGCAGGCGTATTTTAGCGAAAATGCGTGTTTTTCTATCACTCCGAATTTTTTGAAACTTTTAAGGATGCATTCAAGAGGCCAATAAAGGCCTAAAAGAGGCGGGAGGGGGGTCAAGTTCAGCGTTACCTAACAAACCCAAGCCAGGGGGGGGGGAGTTTTGAAAATAAAATGTGTAAGAAATTGAATATCCCGTCCTCTCCAAATGAATCCTTTCGGCGCGTGACTCAGTCGACGCAATGCGTGTCCCATTGGTTAACTTATTCAAAATTTGTATTGCATTTTTCTGGCAAGATTATGAATAAAACAAATCCAATCATGTATTTTTACACTTTTGCTAATCTTTTCTCGTTGTATTTCACGGGAATATCTTTAAAAAAACTCCTCCATGAGAAAAAAAACTTCGTGCGTGGGACCCGAAATTGCGGTCATGCAGATCTCTGAAGTTTGCGGATCACGTATCTAAAAACTTGAGGTCGAGCAGCCGAAGTTCGGGTCAGACATCTGAAGTACTTAGGTACATACCGAAGGGTTCGGGTCACACATCTGAAGTACACCGATACATACCGAAGTACCTCAGGTGTATGACCCGAACCTCGGCAGTTGGACCTTAAGTTTTTGGATGCGTGATCCGAAAATTTAAGAGACCCATATGATCTCTGAAGTTTTTTTCCTCATGGGGGAGTCTTTTTAAAGATATTTCCGTGAAATACAACGGGAAGAGATTGACTAAGGTTTAAAAATACATTATTAAATTTTTTTTCTTAATAAGCTTCCGTAAAAATGTACATCTGTACTCTAAAATGGACGTATTTATGCGAAAAGGAGATATGTGGAAGTGGAAAGATGGGGTGTGCTCGTTAGTGGTCGGGCCATAAGAATGAATGGGGAATATTGTGCGCCAGTGACGTCAGCGGCAGTGAGTGCGCACTCTAACGACGGGGAGATGGTCGTCGGGGCGCTGTAACTCGTGAGCCCTGTCCACAACGCTCTCTTACCATGCCCGCGGCTCATGAGTTAGCATATTTTGCCGCTTAGCTCCTTTTGATTTAATGTCAAATCCCGCTTCTCAATTTTCTCAAAAGGAGCTATATCCACTTTTACATTGTTTCTTATGACCCAACTAACGAGCACACCCCATCTTTCCACTTGCACATATCTCCTTTTAGCATAAATACGTCCAAATATAAATGTGATTTAAGAGATCCATATGACCTCAACTTCGGGTCCCATGCACGAAGCTTTTTTCTCCCTGTAGCGCCAAAGTTCTGAGTATTTGTCCATACCTTGTCTTTGTCCTCGGTGTCGATGATGAACCGCTTGGCGGGCGGCTCGTTCTTGGGCGTCGCCTCGTCCTCGGAGTTGCGGTCGGCGAAGAGCCCTCTGGATTCGGTGGAGGCCCGCAGGGTGTTGGTGTCCTTCTCGGAGGTGGAGGAGGTGGAGGAGGCGTCCTCCTTCTCGAGGGAGGAGAGCGGGGTCTCGTTGAGGAGGTCCTCGATGAGGTTGGGCGTGATGCGGAGGACCTCGTCCTTGTCCAGGCTCGAGTCCCCGTCCGTCACCGTCACCATCGTCACCGCCGTGGTCGACGAGTCCGTCGAGGTGTTCAGCGCCGACTCCAGCGAGGCCGAGTTCGAGGCCAGCACCACCTGCGGAGAAAATATCCGTTCGACTCAGTTGATAGACACATTGCTCGGAAGAACATTGCACGATTAAGGGAACTACCAAAAGCATTTTAGCGAGCAATTTGAATGGAATCAGTGAGTTCAAAAACACCCCAACTCGGGTTTTTTTCGATGTTCACTTTTTTACGGTTTAGTCACACTTTCAATTTTACACAAGAGATCGTTTCCTTTGAAATGTTGAAGAATTTGCTTCACACTATGCAAAAATTGACACTTTCGTTGTGAAATAGTCGAGGCCCCGTGGCACGCTGCGCCATGGTGGTCGGTCGACTAGCGCGGAACGCGCATTGGCGCCTACAAACCTAAGAGGATACTTCAAGCATTGCGCAATGCGTGAAGTATCCCCTTAGGTTTTTAGACGCCAGTGGTTTGTACCGCACTCTGTTCGGTGATATATTTGAATCAGTGAGTTCGAAAACACACCAACTCGGGTTTTTTTCGATGTTCACTTTTTTACGGTTTAGTATCACTTATGGATAGAAACATCTGAAAGCAAAAGGAAATTTCGAAATTGCAATTGGACGTGCTCGAAACAGCGACGGGAAAAGGGAAAAATCGAAGTATTTCATTGGAAGTACCAATTTTTGGCCATTTCAAGGGAAACGGGTGACCATCCGATTTTGCGGTTTTCTTTTTTCGGTTCAGTATACCTTGTACCAACAAGTTATGTAAATATTCAAGCGTTATTCAGGTCGAAAAATATACGGTTCTCAGGGCAAACTATGAAAAATCAGTACCTATTTGAAAGTCGGTGAGAAAAGAAACACACCAACTCGGAAATTTTTTAAACGCTTAATTCTCTGTCATCAAACATGGTGTATGAATTTCAACTTGGTCATTTAAAAAGTCTCTAAGTACTTGTCCTTTGGCACCAAAAAGGTTTTTCTGAAACTAACTTCTTCGCTCGCTGCGCAGTTTAAGGTGTTTCCTGAACACTTTTTTTTCCGAGTTGGTGTGTTTTCGAACTCACTGATTCAATTAAGTAGACGATTGTTCATTGGGAGGGGAAATTTAAATTTCCCGTAACAAATGGAACATAAAAACGGTAATATCATAGTTATGAGTTGATTTCAGCCATTAATTGCGTTTACGACGAACATGTATCAGAGAGCTTAAATTCATAACTCGTCTAATAGTTACAGGAAACTAAATATTCGCCTTCAATTGGCCGGCTATACAAAATGACTGTCGTGACACATGAATAGTAGTATCACAATATCGCATTGATATTATACAGCGTGTTGAAGGCGTTCCTTTTTATCATATCTTAGGGGCCATGTGTAATGATGTTAACCGGAAAATTCACACTTTTCGAGCAGGTCATTATTTTTAAAAATATACTAAGGACATTTTTTTGCATTCTAGGAGGTAATATTTTCGTTTGTGAGTCTTATTCAAAAAAAGCAGGCGCAAAGGCTCGGTTCATGTCGCAGTTTTCAGTTATTCTTGCTTTGGTCAATGTATTCTCCGATACAACTCCTCCGAGGGTCATCGTTTACAAGATGAAATGGGACGTACAGACAAAATAAATGCTTTTTTAACAATGCAAAATAATGTTCTTGGTCCATTTTTCAAAGTTACGGCCTAATTTGAAACTCGAAAATTGTGAACTTTTTCGGTTCACATCACTATACATAGCCACTAAGATAGAATACAGAGAAGCGCCTTCAAGACACTATGTAATCTGAATGCAAAATTGTGATACCACTATTCGTGCGTCACGACAGTCATTTTGCATAGCCGGCCAATTGAAGGCAAATCTTTGGTTTCCAGTAAACCAGTAGACAAGGTACACATCTAACCAATCTGATACATGTTTCTGAACCAAAGTTGCTTGATGAAAACGGTTCAAACAACCAAAACGTGTGCACCTTTAAACAATGTTTTTACAGAATTATTTCGCAAATACCATCAAAAACTTCTTAAAATTTGAGTTGCATGCACTGGAAAAGAAAACACATTGGATCTAGAGTCCAGACGCTTAAAAACATCGACAAGAAAAAGTACTCTTGATTCAATCAGAATCTAGCTTAAATCAAGAACCAAGCCCCATAATTTAAGCGGATTTCGTTTTGATTCAAGCAAAAATCCGATTGAATCAAGAGTATTTTTTCTTGTCAATGTTTTCAAGAGTCTGGACTCTAGATCCAATGTGTTTTTTTTTTCCAGTGTGGGTGAAACAGTTTTTCTTTATAAAGTGTTAAGTTCCAAAAAAAGAGGGGAAATCTTGATGGATTTACGGCGTTCTTGCTTAGCACGGCTGATTACCTCTCTGGCATCGAATACCTTAATGATTTTTACGAACTATTTTCAGGGATTTAACGCTTTAAGTCACACTGAAAAAAAAAGTAGCTTGGATCAAGCATGATCATTCTTGAATTTGCTGCCAAGAATTTTTTTTATCTTGCTTTAAACTGACTTTTTTTTATTCAAGAAAAATAATGCTTGGGTTAAGCAAAAAAGTAGCTTATATTAAGCAGCAAAATTCTTGATTTAAGAAGAAATACTTCTTGGCGGCAAATTTAAGATTCTTTTTTTTTCAGTGCAGAAACCAATTTTCCCGGTGCGGATAGATTTATTATTTGATTTGTATATGGTGATGTTGAGACTGACCTTGGGCGGGAGCGGTCCCTTGGAAGCGCCTTGGGGGCGGGAGCGGTGGGCGGAGGCGGTGCGGAAGTGGAGGCGGCGGAGGGCGGTGGAGGCGGAGGCGATGAGGTCCGTGCTCGAGCCGGAGGAGAGCTCCGGCGACTCCGGCCGCTGCGTCAGCACTGCCATCCGGTGCCGACCGACGCCGCCCAGGGAGAGCCGGGCAAAACTCTGCGACAAAACAGAAAACAAAAATTATCAAAGAGTTATCAAAAACCCACAAAAACACCAATTTTTCACATTTTTCACACTGATTTTTTTCACATCATTGCCCTGAAAAATGTATATTTTTCGACCTGAATAACGCTTGAATATTTATATAACTTGTTGGTACAAGGTATACTGAACCGAAAAAAGAAAACCGCAAAATCGGATGGTCACCCGTTTCCCTTGAAATGGCCAAAAATTGGCACTTCCAATGAAATACTTCGATTTTTCCCTTTTCCCGTCGCTGTTTCGAGCACTTCCTATTGCAATTTCGAAATTTCGTTTTGCGTGCAGATGCTTCTATCCATAAGTGTTACTAAACCGTAAAAAAGTGAACATCGAAAAAAACCCGCGTTGGTGTGTTTTCGAACTCACTAATTCAAATATATCACCGAGCAGAGTGCGGTACAAACCACTCGCGCCTACAAACCTAAGGGGATACTTCACGCAATGCGCAATGCTTGAAGTATCCTCTTAGGTTTGTAGGCGCCAATAATGCGCGTTCCGCGCTAGCCGACCGACAACCACGCCGCAGCGTGCCACGGGGCCTCGACTATTTCACAACAAAAGTGTTGCACAGCATGTAAATTTTTGCATAGTGTGAAGCAAATTCCTCAACATTTTCAAAGGAATCCGCACAAACAATCTCTTGCATAAAATTGAATTGCCCAGTCAAATTGGCAATAGCTGATGTTCTTTTCTGATGAACACGGCCCGGTTGTCAATTAACGACGTTCCTTCCGTATGTCCTGTGTGCTTTCAAAAAGTAAACAACGCGCACAGGCTGAGCTGAATGGCCGAGATGGAAGCTGTCATATTTTCGTACCGTGGAGGCTGTCAAGGTAATTTTTTGTGTCCGATTTAACTAAAGTACGTCGACTCTTCTTATTCAATTAATGAGAAGTTTGAATTTATGCAACGAAGATCGTTAAAGCGTTAAATTCAATAATATGCATTGCAAAAATCGTGTTGTACCTAAAATTTTGTCAGGAAACCACCAATTATAGTGCGTAAATTTGTGTATTGGTGGCTAAGGGTCTACCGAAAAACATAATGGGGAGTCTGTGACGTGCCAATGGAAAAACGCATTTTTCAATAGAAACAACACGTATCAAATAACTTGGTTATAACTTGCAGATTTTGATGAGGGGCGAATTTTTTTTTGGAGCAAAAGCTCACTCAAAAAACCCAAGAGGAGAAGCGTTTGCTGAGCTAATTATCGGCGAGTAAGGCGACTGAACCATCAGAGTAAAAACTGTTCTCCTTTAGTTATCTGGGCCCAGTGAAGCGTGGGTCTGAAGACGCTACAATAAGCTGTCAAGCTTTCAAAGTTACAAACTCCTCCACGAACACTTAATTACTTCCGAGAATGGAAGGAAGTGAGGATGCGCTTGCCATGACGTCTTGACAAGACCAAAAAGGTTGTTACCCGCATCTTAATTCCTACTTAGACGATGAGGATCGTCTTCTCGATCGACCAAAGGCGACAAAGGGTTAAGAAAAACTGCATTTTTTGACACGAAAAAATCAGGTCACTCCTAAAAAGCACATTCAACTAGCGATGGTACCACATCAGACATCGTGATCGAATAGTTCCCACCTTAAAGTTTATCAAATCGAATGAGAAACATTGTTGCTTTTTTTCGAGAAAACTATATTAAATCAAACGTGCAAATCGCCTTCAATAAGCGAAGATACCACGGCAGACACTCGGGGTCGTATTGTTGCGTGTAATGTACACTATCCAGTCCAGCGAGAGATGAAGTTACACCTTTCGATTGAACCCTGTAACAATCATTCGTAAAAATCGCCTTCAATTAGCGATGATACCACAGGAGACATGGTGATCGAAAAGTTGTATCAAGTCATACTTGAAGGAGCCAAACCCCCAGGAGTGCCCGAAAATTATTACGTCGCTTTGCCGTAACAAAGCAGTGCGGAGGTGGTTTTGTTGTCAGTTTTTACCTGTATTTTATTTTAAAAGAATCCTCTTTTACGGACATGCTTCCGTATGAATTGGTTTATTTCGTATTCGTGCGCAACGAGACTCAATCATTCACAGGTATAATCTTTTTCAGTGAATAATTCTGAAGTGAAGTTTCTGAAACTTGAGGCACGACCCATTATACAGAGATGCATTTAAGTGTTTTTGCCATCGGGATCTCAAAATGCCGTTAAGATGCGAGAACTTATGTTTATTTTAAGAGGCACGATTTCAATTTTTCAGTTGCTGAGGAGGTTCCAAAACAAAAGCTCTCCGCGTTGGGGGACTTAACCAGCCCCTGCAGGATCTGCAATATAACTACAGAACATAACATTGATGTCAAATGGAGTTGTTGCATTTCACGATTTTTTAGAGGACACGTCGAAAAAGTTTATGTAAAGAATTTATGTATCACGTATCCTTACGTAACCGTTGAAGGTAAATTCAAGAATCAAGGTGACTAGTCTTCTGTCTCACTCTAAAAATGCTTCTAAAAATGCTTTTACTCTAAAAAAAACTTTGCGTGGACTCTACTCAGAACAGAAAAAAGCACACTGAATGATAAAATACTTCACTTTATTACAGAATCTCAAAATTTGCATCTCTCTTGATAATTAGAATAACTGATATACTATCGTGGCTTGAAAGAATGCGTTAACAAATAAAAGTCCTCTTAATCTTTCAAGATACGTTCAAAACAGAAGTTCATTTTAGGTATTTTGGAATGTGCAGAAACTTTGTTAGTACTGCGTGGCAGGTACAAAATTGCACATTTCTTCGCCTTCTTTCTGATAACAGGACGTAACTCAATTTGTAATGAGCCTTTTCGTCCATGTATCTCATTGCTTTCCTGGCCTCAACTCTAAAAGTAATTACACTCTTTTGTCAGCCAAGCGAAAATTTGACGTCGCAGTAAGCTTCACTAGAAAAATCGACCAAAATTCGTGGTACGGACTGCGAAAAAACGTAGCTACATTTTGAGATTCCTTTACTTTTGAAAATTGTTTTTAACTAAAACAAATTCGGAATTTTTTACTAATTTCACTACAATTGCTGCTGATAACTTGCGCAAATCAGCAAAATTTCGGACAGAGGAACAAATAAGCGAACCGGGCCTATTATCCTATTTTTTTAAACTAAAAACGTGGGAGCCATGCAGCGGCGTGGCGTGCTTTGCGATATATCGATTGATCTGCCACTTAAATCCATGGAAAAGGTCGATAAACGGGGTGTTCGCAACGAACACTTTAATAATCGGTTCTTGACCATAGCTCCAAACGGGGAAACATCGATAACAGTGGCGTGGCGTGAATTGCGATATATCGATTGTTATGCCATTTAAACCTATGAAAAAAGATCGATTATCAGGGTGTTCGCAGCGAACACCGTAGTAATCGATTCTTTACCATAGCTTCAAATGGTGAGATATCGATAATCGATTATTCACGTCACGCCACTGATCGATAAGCGATCACACCACTGGAGCCATGCACTGAAAACAAATTCTCGGCGTTTTTACCAAGGTCCGTTGGTACCTTTACCATCTCACTTGTCTTACCAATTATTGGTAATTTTACCGAGACAGACTGGTAAGCTTACCTAAAAACCAGTGTTTTTACTGTTTCTTTTTCAGGTAAGAATACCACTTTTATTGGTAATCGATTCCCGGTAACTTTGCCATTTTATCTCGGTAATTCTACCACAGTCGATAAAAAATATTGGCGTTTTTACCAAGGTCCAGTAAAATTACCGAGAAAATTCAATAATTTTCCCGCGATTTCTCGGTAAAATTACCAATTCCATAAATGGTAATTTTACCAAGAAAAAACTGGGATAAATAGAACTCTGGATTTTTGGTAATTTTACCCTTTTCCCAGTAAATACACCGAGATTTTTTTTTCAGTGCATGTTTCATTTAGCGAGGCAGAAAAAAGGCGAAAAGGCAACAGCGCGAAAGGTATCCGCGAAGATTGTCCCAATAAGCACGGAGCAGGCAATCGGAGCGCATCCTTTGAAGCCCTCGGAATCCCCGAATCCCTGTTTCTGAAACCAATAAAACCCTTGGAAACAATAAACTTGTTAGCCGGAGAGAGCTCTTCACTTCTTGTCGGTCTCGTTTTATATTTCGTACTATTTACATCTTTCTTGCTGCTGGGATAGCAGCGTTTTGACGAGAGGAGTGGGAGGCACCCACTCCGGCGCGTGCGAATTCGTCGCTCCATTGGTGTAAAGACGTATCTTGATTCCCACATGAGCCCCAGAAAGCATTGATTCATATGTGAAACAGGGCTCACGTGGAGATTGAGATAGGTCTTTATGCCAGAGGGGCGTGCAAATTGTGCTAAGGTATCAACGTAAGCGGCTTTTCGCTTACCTACGCCGCTCGCGGGGAGTATCAAGAGTGAGACCTGAGCGTTGCCTACGAGAATGGAGAGGCCGTAACTAGTCAGTTCTGTGACGTCAAGCTAGTAGATATTTACCGAAAACAACAAGCATCTCCGGGTCATCAGTGCATCGATGAGTGAGGCAGTCGCTGCGTGGACCAATCAGAGTGGCTCTCGATCGGCCGAAGTTGCGCGAGCGGCCCGTTTGAATCTGAGTGGAGTAACGATTTTCGGTATTACGCATTCATTTCCTCGATATTTAGACAATGTCACAAATGAACTAGTTAGTTTTCTAAAGTGAAATTTCATCCTCTTTCTAAACGGTTCTTATGAAATTTTGCGTCAGATCAACCCTGAAAGAGATATCAGCGAGAAATCATCGCGCGGCAAGCGTTCTCCCATAAGAACGCGTGTTAAACCGCGGCCGAGTTTCATCTACTAGTGTGACGTCACAGAATCGTAGTTACGGCCTCTCCATTCTCGTAGGCAACGACCTGAGAAACAAGTCGTATATTAATTTTCTCATGAGACCCAGAAAGCACGGCGTCATACGGAGCACAGGGGTCACGTTGAAATCGAGATACGTTGG